CCGTCTCAGGCCTCTCGTCTGACCCTGTGGTGAACGCCTGCCTTCCCGCTAAGAGCTTCTTTCCCTTACAACAATTCCAGTAGTCACTCTTCCTCCCTCTCCTCTCACACACACTCTTCACTACCCTCAGATGAGCCCCAGCCCTGCGCTCCTCACACAAAGAGGTGCCAGAACTCACCCGTTTCTGACCCAGTTTCTGGACCGGCCTCCTCCAGTCTCAAGTGCTTTGGGTAAGGATGGCCCCGGCTTTCCCACACTCGGGTCTCAGCGATACTGTCCCCTTGTCTGGGTGCTCTTCCTCAGCCCCCGTGGCTCTTGGGGACATGCTCCCCAGCACTGGTCTTTCTCTGCCACAGGCCCCACAGATCCCAGGCTGGCCCATGACAGCACCTGGTGCCAGCTCTTGATTTGCATTTCTCCCTATCCTGGAGCCAGGGAGCGTCTCTGGGGCACTTCACACACACTGGCTGCTAACACAGGACACTGCTCCAACTAGACCCTAGATCTGCAAGCCCCCAGCAACAGCAGATGTGTATCTAAAATTCATTACAATAAAGATGGCAACTTCAGGCTCTCAGTTACACTGGGCATGTTTTGAGGGCTGCCACATTGAAAGGTGGGCCCAGAGCATTCCTACCACCCAGAGTCCTGCTGGACAGAGGCAGCGGGATGAAGGGCCGATGTTAGGGTAATCATAGGAAAGTGCCACCCAAGCGCTCTGTCTCCAGCAACCAGAAGAGGGAGGACGTGACGGATCAGGTCACACTCGTCAGAAGTGCCACCACAGACTCTGAGCTAGAGGGCTGTGATCCGACTCACTTGGGGACAGAAGGAAACAAGCGCAGAGTCAGATGCCTTAGCCCTTCCTGGCAGAGCAGCTATCACCAGGTGACCACACTCACACCCACTTCCTCTCCACATCCAGCAGAAAGGCACTGTTTCCTGCAAACTTTCTGACCTGCACAAACACTGCATCCAACCAGCAGAGAACGGCCAGAGTGATGTTCGTGATGTTCAGCTAACCCTAAGAAAGAACACTACAAATACAAACACACACAAACACACACACACACACACACACCATACACACACGGCCTCATGCACATATGATTCACATGTGTGTTTTCCTAAAGGAAAATCAGGGCCTAGGTCATGAAGTCATCAACAGTCAAGGTCAGCAGAGGACTGAAGAGACAAAGTCCACCTCACAAAAACTATCCCAGAGGCCTCAGGGGCAGCCTTGGGGCAAACCATCATGAGATGTGGGCTACACCAATGCCGGACTCCTTCTGCACTGATGGGATTACCTAAAGCCAACTGCCAGGTTGCATGGATCTGGCAGGCAGATAACCAGGTGCTGAGAGAGACCCCGCTGAAGTCTGGCATCTCCAGCATCCGTCACACAGGGAGTTCGGTTCATGCCTGTCATTCCTTCAGCAGCAAGTATCTGCTAATGGCCTCCCATATGCCAGGCACCATGCTGCTGGGCACGGGGCCTCTTTGGGCGTCTGGCTTCTTCTGGCCCAGGTTCTCGGCCCCACGCAGACGCCTTCTATCACTGTGTGTGCCTCTGGAAGCAGGGAGCACCCCTCAGTCATTAACAAAGGGTGGTTGTGTCTCTGCTTTTGTTTTTCTGTTTCTGGAGGTGCTTTTGTTTTGGTTTTTCGGTTTTTTTGGTGGTCGTGCTAGGAATTCAATCTAGGGCCTCACACGTGAGGCAAGTGCTCGACCACTGAACTATACCCTGGCCCATCATAAACTCATTTTACTGGTTAAGAAGAATGAGGTGGATTATTTTAGACTAATACAAAAATAAGATTAAGACTAAACCCCTGAGGGGCTGGGGATTTAGCTCAGCGGCAAAAGCGCCTGCCTGGCAAGCGCAAGGTCGTGAGTTCGGTTCCCGGTACCGGAGAAAAACCAAAAAAAAAAAAAAAAAAAAGACTAAACCGCTGCAGGATAATATACACTGCATGATCCCATTTGAGCAACCCAAAACAAGAAGGAAACAAATTTGCACACTGACTTCAATGTCTGTAACATGCATGAAGGAGTCTGGCGAGGGCATCTCCCACCCTGGGAAGAAGACAGTCACCTCTGAGTGGCACAGCAGGAGGGTCTCTGTGTGCTGACTCTCCAGCACTCTGGCACTCGCTCACTTGGTGCGGGAAACAGGTTAAAACTCACATTTCTCAGAATCTTTGGGCATCTGCCTGCTTCTGATCTCTATGTGGGCTACAAAAGGGGGAGAGAAAGGGGAAAAAACATACAAGGAAGGTGTGCCCAAATCCCACGAGAAAGCCAAGTATGATGGTGCACGCCTATAATCCCAGTACCCAGGAGGCTGAGGCAGAAGGATCACCACAAGTTTGAGGCCAGCCTGGGCTACAAAGTGAACTCAAGGCCAACCTGAACTGCATCGTGAACCTTGTCTCAAAAAAACCAAAACCAAACAAAATTTCATGAGATGAAAGCCTGGCTTGCAGGCACAGGAAATGGGAGGTAAAAACACCATCCCGATCTGCAGGGAAGAATTCTTTGCTCCACCGTGGGATGAACACATCACACAGGAGCCTGGCAGAAAAGCACAGTGCTGTGCGGGGCCTTCTGAAAGACAGTGGTGCTACAATTTACGGGAGAAGTAACAAGCTGGGAGACAAGGAAAGCCACTGTGTGGAAGGTGTAGGGGAAGGTGCCCATGTGTGTTTCCCCCAAACCATATCACTTGATTTCTCCCCTTCTAGATTTCTTTACTCTCCAGAAGAAAACACGGTTTAGAAGACAATCTAATGTCTCATTTGAGTTAAGTGGAGGCCCAGAGGGATGAAGTAACTTGCTCAAGATCTCACCAAGTATAAAAGGTAGAGGGACCGACCTGAGACACCCATAGAATTCTAGGTCCTGCCTGCCCTACACCTGGCCATCCACAGCCACAGTGCTCAGGGAAATAGCTGTACCTGTGGCCGGCCCACCTGCAGTACCGCCCATGGGGGCCTACAGAGGCCACGTTACAAACTGCAGCCAGGTGAATGTGGTGTGTGTAATTCTTGCCCGGAAAAAGAGGGGCGGATGCTATGACTTTCTGGTCTCGTACTCACATTCCATTCCCTCCTGATCGTGGTGGGGGCATTTGGTGCAAACCTCTCTGGTGCACACATCAGGGACAATTTCCTCAGGAAGCTCAGCTCTGCAGTCTGAACTGCTTTGGAGGAGACTCTCCTTAGGCCACACTTCAGGGTCAGGCAGAGGAAGCTGGCTCTAGAGGTATCCACCAGGCTGGACCAGCTACCCCCGACATCCCTCTTAAAGCTATTTCTGCCTCCCAGGACAGGGCTCTAGGGAACCCAGGGGGCTCCAGGCCCTTGCTGAAGCTTGAAAGGTGCAGCCCCTACCTTGAAAGACCTGGACATTTGAGTCAGGGTTGTCCCATGAGGAGGTGGGCAGAGCCTCTTGCCCCTCGGTGGGAGTCAAGCTGTCCCTGCTGGCCCTGGAGGTGGACAGGGGACACTCTAGCTTCCAACAGGGCAAGCAGGCCAGGAAGAAAATAGCACTGAGCCTCCAGCCTTGAAGGTCCTGGGCTGGTCTAACAGAACAAGACATACCCAGGGATCCTGGCCTCTCCTCTGCCTTCTGAATTCCACAGGTACGACCCTGCACAACCACGGAAGGAGTAGGCAGGGACAGGGACCGCCACGGGACTCCTAATTACCACCTAACCAAGGACAGGTTTGGGAAAGGTCTAAGTGTGGCTGTCTGCTCCAGGAACATATGACACGAGAGTCTCTCTCTGCGCTGTCTGCTTTACACAGCTGAGCACTGCTTTGTCTTACATTTTAAAGGACACTCACAGCGTTCACTAAAATTCAGCCTGATTATTTCTTAAAATAAAAAATAAATAAATAAAATAAATATATAAAATTCAGCCTGAATACTTCAGATCAGATCAGCAGCGAAGACTGCCTGGGGGAGACATCAATGGGACCAACACTAGAAAGAGGTTCACTGATGAGCCAGGAGGACAGCAGAGGGGGAAGGAGGAAGCGCAAAGGTCAGACCACAGTGAGCAGAGGACGGGGGTGACACGATCAGAGAGGCTGGGAGAGGCCAGCGCACATGAGGCATCTGGCATTGATTCTGAAGGACGGGAGAAGCCACGACAGTGACGTGATCTGATTAACAGTTCTAAGTGGTCCCTCTGGATACAGAGCCGGAAACGGGATGAAGAGAGTAAGTGACAGAGCAGGGAGACCAGCGAAGGGGCTGCTGTGGGGTTTGAGCAAAGATGATCAGGACCATGCTCTGAGGAGTGGGTGGAGAGTAATGGATGGGTTTACTGTACATTTTGTGCAGGGCCACAGGGCTTGCAAACGTGCTAAGAGCAAAGGAGGAATCAGGGATGGCTCCTGGGCTTGCGGCCTGAGCACCTGGGTGGATAACGCCACCACGTATGGAGGTATGGTGGGGCGACGGGGTGGGAAGAAGGAATGGATGTGTGTCTGGGAGGGGCACACCAGTGGCGGCACATCAGCTTCTGAGCTGCCTCGTGATCTCTAAGTGCAGAGGTCACTGGGTGGCAGGAGGTGCTTCTGCTGTCTCGCCCTGATCCTCCATTCCTGGAGCTCTGCATCCCAAGGAACATCCTGTCTGTGCTAGGTGCATTTGGCACCATCGGGGTTCTACTGCCTGGCCCTTGGATCCAAACGAGCTAGCTGCTCGCCGACCACCCAGCTCTGCTGACTCACTCATGACTCTGTGAGTCAAACATCGCCTGACTCAGTAACTGCTGCACCTTCTCTGCACTGCCTCAGACTCCTGCCTGCCACCCCAGCGTTCTCCGGGACCAAGGAAGCGAGAAGCCCCTGCGGCCATCCCAACACCCCTTTCCCATGAGCGGAAAGCATGGCCCCTTCCTCCTAGCCCCTTGAAAACAGGTCCTCAGATTTGCGTATGGTCTCTCTGTTTGCCCCCCACACCTGCAACCCGAGTCCCCACTCACATACCTGTGCCACCTCCGGCCTGACGTTGAAGGTGTCCAGCCAGTCGCGGAAGCGTGGGTAGCTGTTGAGCTCTGGGGTCCTGTCGCCAGGGGCCACGCTAAGCTTGCACTGCCGCTGCTTACAGATATACCGCACCAGCCTCGCCTGCAGGAAGTACAGGAAGAAAAGGCACATTCGGTATCGGCACAAGCACATGGTGGCCCCAGTGAGTGTGCAACAGGAGAGCTTAGGCAGCTATGGGAGCAATGCCCTCAGGAGGGGAGCCTGCGGGGCCCCTATGTTGATGTTCACACAGCCATGAGGCCACACGTGGGGAGAGGGAAGAGGAAGGAGAAAGGTCCAGAAGAGCAAGCAAGGGGTCTGGGAGCCACCACAAGCCCCTTAGTACATCTGAGGCTGGTGACACTGCTTGCCCTCAGGACCACACTCTGCAGAGAGTAATGGGCGAGACCGGTCAGAACAGAGACCAGGCCAACAGGAAGCAGCCTCACACCTGGAGTGGGCTGGGGAGCTGGGGAGGACTTGAGGGCTCAGGAGGGTGGGCCACCAGGAGGCTTCCAGCTATAATCAGACTACCTAGGTTGGGATCCAATGCCTTAACTGCATCCTGGCTCTGTGGCCTTGGAGAAATTATTTCAGGTCCCAGGAAAGCCTGTTTCTTCCTTCAGAAAATGGGGATAATAACAGAAGCTGGGGATAGGGGCAAGAAGAGATGGAGCCCTGAGCGCTTGCTGTGCGCATCCTAAGTACCCAACATGCTGGCAGCTGCTGGGCAGGGACGGTGCTAGTAAGAGCCTTAGGCTGGAGCTCCATGCAGGCGTTCAGGGATGTAAGTCCCAAGATGCACGCAAATTCCAAACACATGAATCTGTGTATCTCCTAAGGAAAGAGTATCCAAAGCTTTCCAAAGACTCTCATCTGTGGTTTATTTGAACAAGGCAGCCTGACTTGGGTCAGACTGGAGTGCTAAAAAGAAGGGAGGCCATTCCAACCACAGGCAGAGGGTATGGATCTACCACCCCAAGAGATCCAAGGAGCTACCCGGATTGGCTGAGATCTAGTGACCTAGTGACCAGAGAGAGCTCCTCAGAGGGTGACAAAATTCCACTGGCCTCCCCTTGGTGACTTCCAAGCATCCCCAAAAGGCAGGCAACCAGCCAGGTGTGAAGGTGCACACATCTAGTCCCAGTACTCTGGGAGGGTGATGACCCTGTCTCAAAAATAAAAATGTAAAAAAAGAGCTAAGGATGCAGCTTAGTGTGGAGGCCCTGGGTTCAATCCCCAATCCCGGGAGGAAAGAAATTTAAAAGTGCAAGTACCACCTTCAAAGTGTGGTGTGGAAACCTGTCCCTGGGTGACACTCTTCCTCAGGCCCTGCTGCCCTCAAGGGTGTTGTGGTCTGGTTGCTAATTCACTCTTCGTCCTTTCATCTGTACATATCTCAGTATATGTCTCTAACGAATAAGGATTTTTTTTTTTTGTACTGGGAATCGAACTCACAACCTCAGGCTTGCCAGGTAAGCCCTGTGTCTATATCCCAGGTACCAGGATTCTTTTTAACACACTCTCATACTACAAAAAAATAAATAATTTCAAATAACTAGAAAGGCTTCCAATTTCCAATTCGGACAGGCACTTACAGTCATCTTGGATCACTGTAGTGATCTGCGGAGGTGCAGACCGCTGCGAGCAATTTTTTTTATTTATTTATTTTTAATTTTTTTTTCTGGTGCCAGGAATCAAACTCAGGACCTCGTGCTTGCCAGGCGGGCGCTGTGACACTGAGCTATATCCCCAGCCTAGCAATGCTTTCAAGTACACAAAACCCTAGGATTACAAAGAAAATCAGTTATATTTAAATACATTTTCCAAAATACTTCAAAGGCTGAGAAGGTAATAACGTTTCTTTATTAAAGTATTAAATAAGGTCTAACAATAAGTCTAACAACTGTAACTTTGAAGTTGTGACAAGGGTAAACTGCTTTTTGAAATAAAACTGTGACTGTAACACGATATGAAAATAGCTAGAATTCCAACTGGTGACCGAGTCACCAGTGTTTACTGACTGTGCCGTGTTGCCCACAATCACGTTGTAGGTGACACATTGTAGGTGAGGTTAAGGAAAATAAAATTGCATTTCTTTTTGTCATCCACGTCTATGGACCCCCTGAATTCTACCCACAGACCTCAAGTAAAGAACCCCTGTGGCTAGACAGACATGAGTATAAAATGAGACCCACGATGACAATAAAACCTGCTGACACATTGGCCTTCCTGAAATTTCCCCTGGAAACTAATCTGGGCCCATCACTGATCTGACAAGTCCCAACTCAGCCCAGTCAGGTCACTGGCCTTCTCTTGTGTGGTCCCAAACTAAATCCCGCTGCCTTCAGGGTGCCAGAAGGGTCAACAGCAAGTGGGTAGCACCACTAGAGAGGAAGCACTGAGTTAGAATCAAAGTAATCCCACTCTATGGTATGGTTTTGATGTTTGGTGAAAGTACTGATAAAAGAGGCAAACCTAGGCATCCCTGCGCCAGCCATCCCTCCGCTACCCAGGGCAGACAGCACTAATCAAACACAGGAGAGGCTCATAGCTCTGAGCAGACTTTGTAAATCAAACACTCTTTGCTGAGGCTCATAACCCCCAGTCACCACATATGTTAAGACGTCTATTTGCCATTACTAAGAACATCTTCAGGGCATGAAGTTCACAACTGTAATGACACAAATGCTACTTCTAGTCTGCACACATAAGTAGGGATATTCGTGTTCTTCCCCATGTGGCCAGAGGCAAACTCCACAATCAGGACCGGACCTCCTGTTCCAGGCCCATCTCCAGTCCCCTGGCCCCTTGAGGCACCCTGCCCTCCAGCCACATGCTCACCCACCAGCCATTCCTCGCAAGATCCTTGCTTAATTTCCTATCTCTGGGCTTCCGCTCAAATTGTGTTTCTGACAGCACCTGCCTCGTAAGGACAGAGTCCTGAGTCCAATTCCCAGTACAAAGAAAATATATATACCAAATTGTGTTTCTACGCAGAGGGCCCTCCCTTCCCCCAGAGACTCCCCAGGACAAGTCAGGATTCTGCTCCCCTCTGCTACTCCATTACAGCCCTGACCACAGTGGGCCTCACACTCACGCTAACAGTTCTGAGCAGGTCTCCCCAGCAGACCTAGCTCCCAGGAAGGGGACAACACATGCTTTTGAGATGAGAAGATCTAGATCCAAATCTACCACTTCTTGCTGTGTGACCTCCAGGAAGTTAATTCATTTTTCTGAGTTCACTCATCTGCAAAGCAGGAATGACTAGCTCATACTGAAATGACGAGCCTGGGCCCCTGACATACATCAGGGCTGGGACTGTGCCCACCTCATTCATTTTTGTCCCCACAAGCCTCTTACTGCACCTGCACATGACATGTGCTCAAACCCTGGCTGAAGAAGAAAACACATGGGCTTCATCCCACATTCCCCGCAGCCGGCCCTTCCCTCCCTTCCAAACAGCTCTCAAAACCAGCTTCAAAGTGCTGGCCAAAGACAGGACCATCAATCAAACAGCCATGCACGCTCAAAACCACTCTTTTCCACATTAACTGAAGAGGTTGCGCTCCTGGCACTGGGCTCTTGGCACCAACAGCAACAGCAATAAAGGTCACCCCATCACCAGCATGGGGTTTCGTGGGCCACCCCACTGGAAGTAATTAATAATATATCCACTCTGCACAAGTCTTTGGCAAATGGCCATCCAATGCAAACAGAGCCAACGAAGCTTGGCCCGAGCCAATGTGCCAGGCCGCTCCAGGTCTCCCCTTTCAACCTGCCCAGCCCTCTTTGGCCTCGAGGTGCTGCTCCTGTGCCAGGCAGGCTCTTCCCAGGGATCCCTCAACCTATGCTCAGCTGAGAAGCCCTTGCTCCAGGAAGCCTTCCCAAGCCCTCCAGGTGTGTACCCGCCACACACCTGACCTAAAGCAGTGGAAAGCAAGCACCAGGTGAGCAAGGGATGAGCACAGGGTCTCAGCATTCCAAACACCAAGGTGAGTTCCCCAGAAAAGGAGTGAAGTTTCATTTCCGACCCCACCCCACAGTACTGGGGATTGGACGTAGAGCGTGTGCATGCTAACCAAGTACTCTACCAGTGATCCACATCCCCAGCCCATCTTTCTTGAAAGGCTGTGAAGAGATCCCTGCTGAAGAATCCAAAGCAGGCCTAAGAACTTGGGAGTGCCTCCTCCGTGCACACAGCTAACTCCTATACCCAGTGGGTGGTACCCCGGTCAAAGAACAGGAAAAGACACCGGTGCACCGTGACCATCTACTGATGGGTCCAGAGTCCTGGCAGCTGCTATCACCTGTAGACCTGGGCTCTGCTGAGGAGCCGAGCTCCCCTCGCTCACAGAGGACGGAGGTGGCAGCAAGTAGTGGCTCCCATAACAGTAAAACAGAGCCACTCTCACTTTTCGGAAAGTTGTGGCAGTCACAGAAGCACCAAAAGGCTATTTTCCCAGACAAACCACAGCGGGGCCTGCCGGGGGCCTGCCAGGGGGCCTATCATTGGTGGCGTCATTTTCTCTTACCCACAAAAACCGCAAGATATAAATTTTCCGGAATAGAAAAGCACCTGAGGTTCCCGTGATGGGACCAACACGGTGAGGGGAAGTCATTAGGACTCTAGGCCCAAAGGAGGGCCTGGGCTGGAACTGAAGGGGCCCCTGCCCCAGGACTCTTGTGCTTCAGGAGCATGGGCCCACCCCTTCCCTGACACACAGCCTGGTTGCAGAGAGAACAGAAAGGCTTCAAGGCAGCCCAGCCACGTGCTAACAGGCGCGCTGTAAACAGCAGCCGTTCACCAAGTGTCCTGAGCTGAAAGAACCAGGCCCGGCCCAGCTCTGACACTTCAGATCAAAGACCTTACAGAAGCCTCCTAAGCTTAGCTTCCACCTCTCCACCTGTAAAGAGAGTCACTTTACGGAAGCCGGGGCCAAGCGAGCTGCTCCACACAAAAGCGCTTGAAGGGAGCAAGAAAAAGGCAGACCCTACAATGTTGCGCCTGTCAGCATCACTGTTGGTTAGTCCGGTCATAACCAGAAGGCAGCACAGCTCCACACGGAAGGACTGGAACTCTGGAGACCACAGCCAGCCTA